CGCTTGGATCAGTTTAAATATAAGTTTTTATAGCCCACCAGCTGGAGGGGCACAATCAGTTTCATTCTAACATTAGCACAGTGTGAGTAATATCCCAGTCTGCATTATAAGTACATTTGCAGGTGCATGGATTTGTTTTTTGCTTGTATAGGATTGCTTTACAATAGTAAGTAATTGAAGATGCCAAATAGAGGATACACTTTGATTCAAGTGTCAAATCTTTCAATATAATTGATCATTACAGAACAGAATGTAAACATTTAAGACATGAAACAAAAAAAGGATCTTTTAAAATACAGCCTTGCAATATACACCAGTTAGGATGAACCTGAAAATTTGTAACACATGCAGAAGAAGAAGATTAACTATATTGTTCACAAGTGAAACTACTAAAAGGAACTGATGAAACATTTTGCTGCAAACCTACTGGCAATTCAACTGGATAGAAATTCAGAAGACGACAGTAATTTGAATGGAACACTGAAATGAAAGATGATAGATTGATGAAAGTGAAGCAAGAGCTTCACCAGCCAAGAACAGAATTATTACATCGGAATGAAAGTTTAACAATGATGAGTGAAATCCCAATTAGGAAAAAGAAACTCAATTAAAAAGAATATGCTCATTGAAAAGTGGAAAAAATAAGATGTACTATTGTTTTTTACTGTAATTTTTAAACAAATCAAGAACACAAAAAAATACATTTCTCTGAAGGCACTGATACTCAACACACATTTCATAACAAACTCTCTGAATATTTGTCTACATAAGAAAGACTTCAGCATAAATGCAAGGAGGTATTTTATTTGTAAAATCACATGGTAAAAGCCCTGGTGATGTGTACGAAGTTCTTTGAAGAGATTAACATCAAGAGCTACACTTCATATGCTTAAAGATCTGACTCCCCCAGTAAAAGTTATGCGAGATAAATCTTGTATAATAGAAGCAAAGTTCACTCAACTTAATATATTGAATTTTTTGAAATCATAATTACTTTAAATCTCAGTGCCGAGACAAAAATTGTAATTTTCATGTTGTTAAGATTATTCATTGCAGTGTTTGGTAGGATAGCAGCATTCGAAGTGATTGTGGTGCAAGAAGACCTTAAGAAGTTACTCTAAAATAAACAATTCAGAAACTTTGATGTTCTTTACAATCAGCAGAATTGATTTTCCAGTTACAGAATCCAAATCTGAAAGGAAAATTATAAAGACTGCTATTTTTTAATGCAATCCACATTGTAATTACAATTGCCTGGAAAGTCCACCAGTTGGCAAAGGATTTAAACTGAGTTCAGGTGAACTTGGCGATGTTTCTTCTGAAAGGAAAGAAAGATGACCTAAACATTGAAACACAATCCCTAAAATGAAATGTAACCCTTGGTGCAGAACAAGACAATGTTTACCACACACACTGAATGAAAACAGAACTATTTACGTCATAATCCTCCATAAACAAAATACATGAAGTAAGAGTGTCATAAGGAGAAGTCAAAGACAGAAGAACGTTTGATGCATCTCCACGCTAACTGTTTTTCAAGCTTAGATCTTGATCAAAAACTTTTATGAGAAACTTGTGTTAAGTGTACTGTATATTTTCCCCTTATTGAAGAACAGGCTTATAATATGAAGAATCAATAAGAACGAAAGAAATCTTAAAGTTGCATGTGGGCAACATTCTATATTTGCGAGATCAAATAACTATCAAATTTATCATTGCTTTTTAATTATCACTAGTTTAAATGTCACTTAACTAGAGTCAATGCAAATCATGAACATTTTTTCATTCTTTTTAAGCTTTGACATGCTTTAAGAATTCATCAACTCAGAAAAAAACAAACTTTTTTTATTTTTAACTCCTTCCCTTAAATCTTCCACGATCCTGCTTAAATAGAAAACATGGCTTAAAACGGGCAATACCCAAGTGTCAGGAAGTTTCATTCACACACTTCCCATTTTTCTTTCAAAATAAATTCTGATATCATACCAACAAAACAATTTATTAAAACATAAAAATAGCAGTAGTACCTGTGTAACTAGATATTCTTACCTGTCAGAAGATGGTCTGAGCCCAGCGCAAAAGGATTTAAGACAAGGATGAAGGAATAGAAAAAATTCACATACATCTGGCAAGGTTCCACTCGTGCAGGTAGGTATTACAACAGTTCAGTGTGTGTACCAATGTTTGATTGTACAGAACAACAGACGCTTGTGTACTTTGGGTGTACTGTGGGATGTACAAAGCGAATATACGGTTAAGAATTGTAAGTGCGAGTTATTTGTAAACAAATTATATAAAATTCTTTACTTAGAATAATTTTTCCACGTATGCAATTATTTGAGTTTAATGTGTTGGGTTTTCTTTGTTAAAATGTATGTATAAATAAAATTAAATTAAAAAAAAAAATCCGTTCTGAACATTACAATGCCCTGAACTCGGAAATAACATAATAAAACTAGTTTGGCTTCTTTTTGAGGATCTACAGACAAGGAAAAAATAAATTTCAACAGAAAAAATTAATTATTATTGAGTATTAAATGAGTGAAGAGTTATATATTATACACTATTACTAAATGCATAAGCCTATGGATTTTTATTTTAGATAAACCAAGGAACCAAACTATTAGATTGCCCGAAGACATTAGCACTAATAAATTCTATTGGTGTTCTATATGAAAAGTGAGAAAGACAAATAAAGGAGCATGTGCACATACTTGAGGCAAACAAACGAGACAAGTTACTGAGGTTTGGGGAAGCAGTTACACTAAAACAAAGCAACACATATGGAAGAATGAAGGGGAAAGGGCGAGTCCACAGAGTGCAGCCTACCTCAGGTCGACGTGGAGGAAGCTTAAATAAAAACAGAGAGAGAGAACACAGAATTAGGATTGCCGCAAATGAAATGTGACAGGCAAGCACAGAAAAATTAATCGAACAAGCTGCATTCAGGTCATTAATACTGAAAATATACAGCAACACATGAGTATTCCCAACAAAAGTAAATCTTGTTCCTAAAATTGTAATGTAGATGGTGCCTCTAGTTTTAACAACTTTCCTAATATCAGCCAGGAAACTACCTTGAAGAGGGCTCTCTTAGAAATGAAATCAATTAATTTATGAACTCTTATTGCATTAAATACTACAAATGAACTGGACACGGAAAATATTAGAATTTCAAAAAAACTGTACTTTCAAAATAATACAACAACAGTATCAATTTCGCAAACTCCCAAACTATCTGCATTGTGTATACTCAACACACACAAACATACTTGACTCGTGCATTGCTGTCGTTGAAGGGTACTCAATAAATATAATTACATTTTATTGGTCATGGAAAAAATGAATCGATTTTAATTTCTAAATGACCCATGCATCCTAGTTTGAAAATAAAACCTTCTGTAGGGAATTAACTACAGTTTTCATGTAGGGGTTAGCAAATATCTAGATACTATGTACAGGGGAAAAGCGAGCTGGCAAAAATACATACCATCGGTTTGAAGATGTGCGAGTTGCGTTGTGGCTGAGCCTGTTGGCCTCCAGCAGCGGCTGACTGGTGGCTTGATGCGCCAGTTGGTGGCGTTGCAGGCTTCGGTTGGCGGTCCTCCCGTGGAGGAGGAGGCAGTGGTCGCGATGGCGGGTGGGGGTCTGGGACCACTGCCGGAACAGGCAGCGGGGGTGTTTAGAAGCCCCCCAAAATAACCCTCCCTCCCACCCTGTTCCCCAGACATTATCCTGTTTGAAGGCTTACATGACCTTCCGAATCAACTACTTGATTAATGGAAACCAAAATACCAGTCAAGCAAAATTTCTGAGAATTTAGTTTCAAAGGGCAAAAATTGCATTCCATGAACAGCAAAACTTCCTTACAATGCTCATGATTCAATGTTAAAACAGTAAAATGTACCAGTGAAGCAGAAGAGAAAGAGAAAAAGTATGATTTGATATAAAAATAAACTAAAGAAACCTGATACTGATTAACATTGGCAGCAATATCACTTCCTCCTTAATAACCATGTAATGGTAATAATCCTGAAGAGTTAATACACTTAAATTTCTAATATTACGATGCTTATCTTTAAGAAGTTATTTCTTAAAAGATCAAAACGTAATGGATACACCTTTGTTGAATAAGCGGAGAAGTATAACAAGGAAGGAAGCTGTGATGCAAAAGACACTTAGAAGCAATGGTATGAAGCCAAAATTTTATAATGGAGAGAGAAAGAAAAATAAAAGACACAACCAACAATAATTTTGGCAAAGGTTAAAGAGCAAGTACTATAATGAAGCTTTGCTGAATTCTTAGAATGAGTGATTTTTAATATTTCAATATTCTATGCAGTGCCTATCATTGGACCTCAGTCGTTCAAAATATCTAGCTGTAGTAATAATTGCAGCCAGTGTCAATATGGTTTACAGACACTATTTACCATCTTCCATACAAAATAATCCACAGAATAAAGAATTAAATATTTGTAAGAAAGCCCTTGGGGGGTGTGTGTGTGTGTAGTTTTATGTAGACTAGAAAACGTAATTATAATAATCATCATTGTCAACTAGTTTTAGGAGTTCAAAAAATTAGTCATTCTTTAGAACCAATTAAATGTAGTTACTGGTCACTTAAAAACCTCTCTTTACACGAAATGCAAACTCTATAACCTTATAATGCACATATTACCAACATGCTAAAACCTTGTATCTTCTCAAATTTGAAATGTGTTACTCACCAGTGTAATTACTGTATTTACCGAAATGTAAGTCTGCTTGGGATATAAGAAATTAATTTTAATGAGGTCTTGAAACAATTTGTTGAACTTCTAAGTTATTCTTACTATTTAGTCTAAATAAAATTGCAAATCATATCATTGACAAGAAAATTGCCATATTGGTGAAAATGTTAAAACGTATTACATAAACTATCACTATTTCCTTTATCCCTAAAAATCATAATAATGGGTTCTGTCACAAGTATCCTTGTTTCTTTCTTTTTCGTCTTCCTCCCATGCTGCAGTGTCATTTGATTTATTAGACCCCCCCAAATTGTGTTCTTATAGTTTAATCTGACCCAAACTAAGTACATTTTCTTCTGTGTCACGAGATTTCCCCCCACCCCTCTCTGTTTGTAGCCTTTCTTGAATAGTTCTTTCACATTCTTTTACCAAATATAAATTAAATTCATGCCGTTTAATGTTACTGTGATTGATTTGTGAAATGCAAACTTCATTCCTAATAAGGGAGGTAGTCACAATTATTACAATTTGGGACGTTTTTTGCTAAAAAGAAATATTTTCAACAAATATATCTGTAGCTGGATGTACTCGTTTCAATGTGATTTTTTATTTCCATATCTTGCAAAAAACAGGTAAGCACATGCCAAGCATCAAACTGAGTCAATTGATCAGCCAAATTTTGTCAATGATTTTCATTCATTTTCATATTGAATTTCACTTGATACAATGCTACTAGTTTTACATTTCTCTCTTTACTGGCCCGTTCAAAAATATCAGTCTGTAAAGCCCGGCAAATTCACGATGGATGTAGAGAATACAGTCACATAGATATTCTACCTACATGTAATATTGCTATATATAAACATTTATGAGTTTTGTGACACGGAAAGGCAATACCATTACTCAAAAATTAGGCTAAATCTTTGAATATAAGATGACCTTGCATGGTTTGAATGAATTATTTAGGAAAAAATCTTAACTTATATTCAAGTAAATACATTATTTCTTAATTGATAATTGAACTTTGAAGAATATAAGTTTATAAAAAAACACCTAAGGAAGATGTTTAGTAAATAGTGACCTGTTTATAATGATTAAGATAAGGGTGCACATTGCAACCTTGCCAAAACGGACCCAGCAGATGCCCACAGCAAGAGGTCCATGCGACAGTGGCTAAGCGCTTACCAATCAGCCGCTGCGGGATGGGCGGCCGAGAGGGAGGTCCCGGCTCTGGGATCTCCTCACGCTCACCTTTCCTGCCATGCTTCGACTCCTTTGGCTCCTTCGACTCAGACTGCGTGAGTGTGCGCCCCTCCTACAAAGTGCCACTCATGAACGGGAGACAGGAGACACAGAGGCACCCCAACCAGGTGGGGTGAATCCATGCCACCTGACAAATACACACCTGGATCTGTTGAAAGTTGCGACGCAGTGTGTCACCTCCTGGAGCCTGAACGATGGAAGACGGTTCCCCAGCCACTCCAGTCTCCTCCTCTTCGTTCTCAGACCCACTATAATGATAATCTTCACGTTCTGTGGGAAATTGGATGACCATGGTTGTAATTATCTCATTTGCTTGAAGACTAACATTATTTAAACATAATTTATATTAATTAAAATTTTAACATTGTCATACAGTTTGTTATTTAATGAATAATTAACCATATGATGTAAGAATCTGCCGACACACTATGATTCATAATATCATATTTGTCAACACATTCTCTTTATAAAATGTAATGAGGAGGCTATTGAGACTGTGGGTTAAAAATAATAAAATAAAACATCAATAATAACAACTGTATTATGTTCAAAATTTGGTCTGCAAAAAAGTATTGAAATAACTGAAAAAATTCCACTGGCATAGGACATCCACTTGAAGCTGACAAATGTAAGATCCAAAACAAATGAAAGGTCAAGCTCACAAGTGAAAGTAAACACGTGATTTTATCTAAAGAGACTGTTACAGCTGTGACACATGTTTACAAATATTGGAATTCAGTAGTCTCAATAATAGCTCTCTTGAATTCTGGGGTGTTATCTATTGTGATACAAGCTGCTGGGCGTTGCAAGCAAAGCTATATTTTGTTGTCGTCCCTCAAAAACGGTTTGTGTTTTATCTAGTGTTTTAGTAGGTGGTATTTTTTCACCTTTTACCATTGGTTGCACGTATTGTACAGAATAATTTATTGTCTAACAAACTCTGTAGTTACCAAATAACTTCCAATATTTATCTGTTCTCTGTGCAGGACAAGGTGTCTTGGAGACACTGTGACAGACTAAGATTGGCTTCTGACTGTAGGGGAAATTGGGCTCCAATTTTGAAGGTTTAAACAAGAAATGAAGTACATGTATGCAAAGGGACAGAAAAAAAGAAAAGCTTAATAGAGGTGACACACTCTGAAGCAGTGCAGCACTACAAGGAGGGGATGGGAAGAGTAGACCAGCTGGACTTCATTTCCCTCTATGAGACATTTATAAGATCACGGAAACGGACCCTTAGGATGGTCTTGATCTTGTGGTCACTTATGCATGGCTTGAATACTAACATCAGGCAGAACTCTTAGGTTTGCAGAAAAAAGAATTTTAGACATTTTATTTTTGGTTCAAGGTTGCTTGAGCTCTTATCTTACCAAAGTTCAATGAAAAATTCTCCAAAAATACTTAAGCGTCGAAGTGAAATTAGACCTCTTAAAGAAGTTTGCTATAACCACCTACATCATATACCAATTTTTGACGACGAAAATGATGAAGGTGGATGCAAAATATTTGGGTGCAAAACATGCATCAAATGTAAAAAATATCACTTACATTTAGGCATCTCTCGAAAAAATAATTCTTTAAAAGTATTCCACTAAAAAATAAATTCAATGAAATATGTTTATACAGTCCCTGTTGACAGCCATCTACGAGGTAGGCTGATCAGAGGAGGACCAGCCTCTTATTCATGGGATAAGGGGTTCGTGTGGTTAGCACGAAGACATCCATCCATCGGAAATACTGGTTGTTTTAACCACAGGGTGGAATTTCTCATTGTCACACAGCAATAGGTATCAGGACATTTGTTAGAAAGGCATATAGTCATCATTTTGCCCTGACTGAGAATTGAACCAGCGGGGTTGTGCTTTGGCAAGAACGCGTGTTAGCGAGCATGCTAACCTACAAGCCATCAAGAGCCTCTTTTTATACAATAAGCGTTAATATTAAAAAAAAACAAAAAAACAACTAATTAACTAACCAACCATGGACAGGCAGCGAGGTGGCGAAAGGGTGGGGGAAAGACAGGCAGACGGACGGGTAGGCAAGCGAACAGGCAGACGGCCAGACGATCGGACCGAAGGGCGGGCGGACAGGCAGACGGCCAGACCAACGGACCGAAGGGCGGGCGGACAGGCAGACGGCCAGACCAACAGACTGAAGGGCGGGAGGGCAGACGGCCATCAAGACGAACGGACCGAAGGGCGGGCGGGCAAACGGACGGAAGGGAAGGCGGGCAAACGGACAGTCAGATGGACCGGCAGACACCGATAGAAGGAAAGGCGGAGGGGCGGAAGGAGTGACGGACGGACGGAAGGAAGGAGTGACGGACGGACGGACGGAAGGAGTGACGGACGGGCGGAAGGAGTGACGGACGGACGGGCGGAAGGAGTGACGGACGGACGGACGGGCGGAAGGAGTGACGGACGGACGGGCGGAAGGAGTGACGGACGGACGGGCGGAAGGAGTGACGGACGGACGGAAGGAGTGACGGACGGACGGAAGGAGTGACGGACGGACGGACGGGCGGAAGGAGTGACGGACGGACGGACGGGCGGAAGGAGTGATGGACGGACGGACGGGCGGAAGGAGTGATGGACGGACGGGCGGAAGGAGTGATGGACGGACGGGCGGAAGGAGTACGGGCGGAAGGAGTGATGGACGGACGGAAGGAGTGATGGACGGACGGACCGAACGGAAGGAAGGAGTGATGGACGGACGGAAGGTGTGAGGGACTGAAAAAGTGGAAGGGCGGAAAAAAGAAAGTACGAAAGGTAGAAAGGACGGAAAGAAGAATGGACGGGAAGAAGAATGGACGGGAAGTAGAAAGGACGAATCAAAAGACGGAAGGAAGGGCGTACCGATAGAATGAAGGATGTGTACAGATGGAATGAAGGACCTGAATAGATGCGATTTTTCAATCGAAAATCAACGGCGCATGCTTAAAATACCTCCCCTTCTGAAGACCAGAAAGTAAATAGATCAAAATAATCACATAGTAGTTGTAGGAACATTTGAAATTTTCAAAATTTCAGTGTTCAACAGAAATCACCTTGTACCATTTCTATAAGAATACTTAGCACTATCCAAGAATATAGAATAGAGAAATGTTTAGAGCAATTTGACAAAAAATGTGAAATGACAAAAAATCGTCATTTTAAAATTGCTCTTAGATCACTCAAAATTACTGGAAAACTAAATATATTTTGAAAAAATTGTAAATGGCTGTACTTACAAATTATCTTTGAAGTAGAGATTTTGTTTGGGAAAAAAATCTAAATTTCTTTATTGTAATTGTAGAAAGATGCTAAAAAATTTGTAATTTTTGCAATATTAACTAATTTAGGGAATTCAGGGAAGACAACAATATTTGGATAAAATATCTGCCAAACATTCAAAAGTACCTCTAATGAAACCTCCTTGCTGTTCTAGTGTAATATTCTTCTTCAGTACATCAATGGTTTAATGTACAATGCTTGAAATTGTACTAACCTAGAAATTCATGCCCACTTAACGCGAATCGTATTCTTGTATGTGCATTAATTATTGCTTACCTTTCTCTTGTTTCCGCTTCTTGCAACGGTCAATGTGATCTTTAAGTTGGATGCGTACTTGGCGTTCTGTGGGCTGATCCCGGATGAAAGGGTGCTTCAGCAGTTGCTCAGTGTAGGGACGCTGGTGATAGTCTTTTACTAGCACAGTCTCAATAAACCCTGTATCGAAATTACACATAATATCACCAATGTATCTGGATCAATGTATCAATAAAATATGAAAACAGAACAGTTCTTCATGAAATTTTAATCCAGTTCTAAATTTTTGCATCAATTCAATGTAACTCCATTTTAACACAGGTTGTCTGGGGAGGAAACATCAAATCTTTGAAAATAAGCACTTAAGACAATTATGCATACTTTGTCTAATAAACTACTTTGATATTCTGATTGGCCCAGCCGCTATAAGCAATCAATAGTTGGTTTGAAAAAATGCTTTCTGGGCAAAACTTTGCATTATAGAAGAATCATGTAAATAGTTTATTATTTACAAAAGATATGAATACATTTATTCAGAAAGAAAAATTAACACAGGAATAAAAAAGCAGTCAAATTGTGTAAATTAAACGCTTTTTATTTCTGTGTTAATTTTTCTTTCTTAACTCATATTAATTTCTTTTATTTCTATATAGTCATAAACACTTTACACATTTCTGTAATATTTCAGTACTTCAATACCAAATTTTTGCCTAAAAATATTTTTTTCAAACCAACTTTTGAATGCTTATTGACGCTCAGCCATTAGGAATATCCCAACAGTTTATTAGACAAAATATGCTTAAAATTGTTTGAAGAACTTATTTGCAAAGTTTTGAGGTTTCCTCCCCTGAATACTGAATGAAGTCACATGTACTTTTCAAAATAAACAAACTAGATTCAAATTTAATTAAATACCATTTATGAAGGAATAATAAAACGCACCATGAAATTTTTTAGCCCACTTCTTAGACTTTAGACGAGGAGGTGGATTTCGAGGAATTAGAAACAAAGCCCTCATAGGATGCAAATCACATAATGGTGGTTGTGATTCTGCCATCTCCAGTGCAGTAATACCCAAAGACCAGAGATCACTTCGGTTGTCGTAAGTTGCATCTGGGTTCTCATCACAGGCAATAACTTCTGGAGCCATCCAGTACGGCGTACCAATGAAGGTATTACGTCGACCTATTGTGCGGTCCAGTTGTGCACTAACACCAAAATCCACTGCAATATACATAACTCTTGTTTTAAATGCACATATGCAAGTGAGAAAAGTAATAAAAATCCCAACACCCAGAAGACTTTAAAAATAGTGACAAAATATAAAGTACACCATAGATTTACACAGCTTAACTGCAACAAGCACACTTTTTTCTATTTAAAAATCATAATAATGCAAATATTTCTCACCTAATTTCACTTCAGCATTGTCAGTAAGCAACACATTTTGACCTTTAATGTCTCGATGAATAACTTTATTTGAATGCAAGTAACTCAGGCCACGCAGTATTTCCCTGCAGATATATGCTATCCATTCCTCTTTAAGACTCTGGCCTTTGGTTGCTGTATAAACAAATAGTATGTTATTATTGATTAGATGAATAAAACAATTATTAATGTACAAAGGAAAACGAAGACATTTGAAGATCAACATAAAATATGGGATATCCTTGTCAAAATGGTCAACAAAATATCCAAGGTTTAGAAATCATACAAATAATTATATTTCCAGATTCAGCATGATATAAAAAACAGATTTTTGAGGGACAGACAGATTGTGTGTGTGTGTGGGGGGATTTTTTGAAATGTTCTTTTTTATCTTTTTCTATTCTATTATTCTATTTTTAACAATTTTAATAAATTTTCCACTATTGTTGCATTAAAAAATTCTAAGCTAAGACTAAATACATAAAGTTTCATCTAATATTTTTTAACACTATCTACTGAAGTCGAGCAACAGCAAAATTGGACACAAAAATTCTTTCGATAGCCAAGAATGAAATTTTGTAGGCATACAGTACAAGTATCAAGGAGTATGTTGAAAGTTTTTGAAAATCTAAAAAAGACCACGCATTCAAACATTTGATTTTTATAGATTTCTACCCATTTATGCCCTCTATGACCTTGCAGAGACCTGGGAAAATTGTTGTTGCTTGACATCAGTTGATAGTGTTAAAAAAATAGATGAAACTTTATGTATACAGACAGTTTGAAATTTTTTAAATACAACAATACCAGAAAATGAATTAAAATCGTTAAGAAGTTGAATTATTTTTAGATAAAAAAATAATGTTCCAAAACCATCCAAAAATTGTTTTTCTTGTTTTTACATCATGCTGAATTTGAAAATATAATTATTTGCACAATTTCCAAACTTTGATATTTTGTTGACTGTTGAATGTCCCGTAAATATTAAGTAAAAAACTAAATGAAAATCTAAATTCATTAAATACTCACATTTAACAAGATCTGTCACGGAACCTGCACCACAATATTCCATTACCAACTGCAACAAGACATAGTCTTGATTATGACTTAGACAGGAAATGGTCATTATTATAAACTAGGTAAAAATTGTGCTGAAAAAAATCACACAAAACGATTTCCCAAAATGTAGCATTTGCATTGCTGAAGAACAATAAATCAAATACTCTAGTGTAACACAGCAAGAAACGATATATTTTAACTATAGTCTTCACAAATACTGCTAAAACATAGTATAGGATAAATACAGCACAAGAGTATTTACAAATCACGAACATAAAAATAGCTGTTCCATAATGCAATACTTAAATAGCCTATGCTTAAAGGACGGCGGGTTCTTCTTGGAGACTTGCTGCCATAAGATGTCAGCAGTGTGGCACACAGGTAATACAGACATACACGCAGTGTGAGAATAGGCAGCATAACACAATCGCCTCTTTGAGGTTTTCAGTCAAAATTGAAACTTTTGTTTCTGGATTTCCCACTGAATGCTAGGTATCTACAGAAAATATAGACCCTTCTCACATAGCCAGATGCTGCTAAGTTTTCTAAAAATTTCTGCATACTTGGTACTGAGTACACAGCATTACACCTGTGGAGAGGGGGGGGGGGTCATTGACTTCGGCCCTCCAACCCCCTCCCCACAAGCCAATTATTCATGCTAAAAGATATGTTTTATTAATTTTCTCCACTAACAAATGCCATTCAATTGCCTACATCATAAATATAAACTATAAGTTAACAAATAAAATACATTTTATATTTAGTGTACATAAAAAATTAACAAAAAAACTCATTAGCTGGACACCTTTTCTTGTATCCCCCTCCACAAATAGTGGGCGTGTAATAGCGATGTTTTTGTATTTTCTTTTGTTTTCTGGGTAGCTAAAAAAAACACTGTCACTTCTCACACAGCCAAAGTTTACATGGTTTCCACCCAATTTTGGTATGCATTAGAAATTAATAATATTGATGAACAATTGTTTTACTCACCCATAACTGATCATCTTTGCCAGGAGGACTTTTCTTTATAAAAGCACCATAATATGTAGCAATGTTACGGTGATTGGAGTACTTTTTGAGAACATTGATTTCTAGTTTGATTTCTTCCTCTTCATCCTGGGACAAAATCAATAAAACATCTTTAACAGTGAATATTGTAATGTACTTAACAGAGTATTATTAAAAATCAAAAACAACTTTAGTAGACATTGCCTTTTAACAAATCTGCATATCATTTTCAAAACTTCAAATTCATGTTTATTTCTAGTAATTTATCAAAACACTTTTGGTTAATAAGTTGGCCAGACGTGAAGACCCCATAAGGTATGTTTAACTTTTGGATACTTTGGTACAAAGGTTTTGGTTACATTGGCTTATTTTAATTACGGCACTTAGGGTTTCACCATCTCTTCCAAAGTTGATCAATGAATGTCAGGAAAGGTAGGAGCTTTCTTTCTGTATCAACATTATAAATGACTTTTTTAATTCTACAAATATTTTCAAATCTGCATATCTTCTTCTCTTAGTCTAAAATAAAACCACAGCTTGTACGAACATTCATAGTGCTTTTCTTACATTCCACATTACTGACAACATTAAATTACTGGCAAATTTTTACATTTATACCCAGAAGTGGTACTGTTACCAACTATGAGTTACACTAACTTTTCAGACCAATCTTATTATTTCCAACTTTCAAGAAACTTGAATACAAACTTAAATAATTTTAAAATACTCACATTAAGTATTTTTGCAACACATGATTAAAATAAAGCTTGACTTATGAAATAGAAATAATTCCCAACTTAATACAATACATTATTTATATCACACAACATAACTTTGAAATAGTAGTTGTAGTTTTCATATTTATTTAATGTTGGGACTCCTCACCCTGGATGCCACATGTTTATGGCTAAGGTAACATTCCATAGCGTACTATCACTCTTCGGGTAAACCAACCTAGTGTGAGCTCTGACTTCAGTCCCCCAAACCTCTCGCTGGGATAGCCCTTGGCTCAACTGCCAAGAATGTATAAAGTCCAAAGAAATCCTTAGGTACTTGTACCATTTTACAGTTTAGAAGGCCAATTCCCTTAGGTGTACCATCTAATTGCAGTCCATAGGCATTTATAGTAGCAGTTCAAAATTACTAGGTGAGGCCTAGGGATTAGGGAACGAGCCACCCCCACAAACACAACTGATATTCATGTCTTCTGTGGGATTTGAATTAACAGTCCTGGTGTCAGCTACTGGGGCATGCCCCAAATATCTTACATAGCTTGGTCATAGTAAATATTTCTAAGAATAAGAATAGAGATGTGTAAACACATAGAAGACTGTCACATTTTTCTAATTGTAAAGAGCAGTTTTAAAGTTTGTGTAATCTTACAGAATGGGCACGATGTTTGGATTGCATGTAACTTTCTCATTAATTCCTTTCGTATTTACTCGATTATAAGACAACGTGTTTTCCTAAATATCTCGCACAAATAATATGGGGCCGTTTTATATCAATACAATAAGCATAGTCGCTTAGGATTTACATTTTTCTCTGCCTTTCCATGCTATGAAGCAGCTTGAATGCTGATGAAATAATAAGGTTGAAAAGCAATAAATATCACGCATACCTTTAGTCCCTAATTATATTTGATCTGATTGATTTTGTCAACAGTATTGTAAGTGATGCATGGAGAAGAAATACAATCTTCACGGATGTATTGCAGACTACCACTGCGAATTTACTGTGCAATTCAGACCAATAGTTTTGAATGGTCTGGAAAGACTATCTCTAACAAATGGCACTGTAGTATGTACATGAAATGCAATGCAAAAATTAATAAAAATGGTTGCCGGGATTTTTTTTACACAAAAGCAAAAAGGCAGCGCAAACTCTTGATTTGTCACACAGCAAGTGCCAATCTGAGTTCTAGAAGAAAAGATAGAAATGAAATAAATTGTATTGATAGAAGTATGCATTCTACATACAACTACAAAGACAGAATGATAATTTTTTTCTCTTGGCCAGAACTTCACAAAGTTGGGAAGTTCCTCGCTCTCTCCAGCGTTACTCGGGAAATAGAAATGTATGAGTTTGCTGTTCACATCTTCATCACACAAACATAAACCGATGCAAATTTCAATTACATCCTGTTAAAGAATGTAAACAAAATGTTACAGAATTAGAGGCCATTAACAACACAGCGTGACAGGAAGAAAATTTGGTGACAGAAGGAAATTTTCTCAAGTGTCAGAGAATGAATGAAGGAAAATTCAATACCCACAACTTCACGGAAGCCTAAAAAGTCGGAGAATGACAGAGTATTGGAGAACAACCAAATACAAACAAAAATAATATATATTTACCAAGATAAATACAGTACTGGCAAAACTCTTGTTAACATGAGATTTTGACTTACACAAGCAAGTTACTTATACACTTTCCAAATAGTTTGCTATAGGGCACTAACTTATTAGAAGTACTTAATTTCCTAGGGATTAAGAATTTGGAGAAACTATAAAAGGGAATCCTTTAAAACACATTAAATTCTATCCCAAAATGTGCTATTTCCAATTGGGTAGTAAGCTTCTTTGGTAAATGATTACAATACATATATTAAATTTCACATTAGAAATCAACAAAAAACTTTGTGGTACAAAAAACAAATTTGCCTACTCCAGAGACAAACTCGTGATAATACTATTTTCTTGAAACATTACTAGTTTTTTCTAATAATTATTCAGTTGTTGTAATGGGAATAATAAACAGTATCACAGAATTAAAATTTTCAACTTAACACCAATGATTCACAATTCAAATTAGGTTTGAATAATATGTAATTTTGAAGTAATTAACATGCAATTATCATTTAACAATCTTGTTCAATTTCTTGGTCAGTTTTGCAATTTTTTGTTTTTATATGTGAAAATTTATATTCCTTCATTGGTTAATAGACAAATGTAATTTTTCTAATGATGGTTGCTAAAACATTAATGAAGGTCAAGAACCTGTCTTGTTGAAGATTTATTCATTATAATTCAATTAAAATGTAATTTAAAAAAAGTAAGTTTTCAGATTAAATTCATAATAATTTGTTACACACATCTCCAGTTCATGAGTTAATGAACTTAGAACTGCCATTTATTGGTTCTTCATTGAACATCAGGCTTTCTGAAAAGTATTGCGCTTATTTTATGAAAATTACAAAACTTTTTATGATCAAGAAATCATAACATTTCTGTGTAGACTACAAAGTAGAAAAATAATACAAAAGAACTAGTAAATTCTTTGTAGATCCTTATTTTATGGAAAGGAAATTTGAGAGGTTTCTCTTGAATTATGGTCACTGCTCCATTTAAATGTATAATGCACAGGAAATAACTTGCAAATGCACCCCCTGCTTGCTATAATAGAAACAACAATCACTGTTTTCTTTGACTCTGCATTGTGCACCCTAAGTAAAGGAAGCTAAAACTGAGATAACTTATCTTATCGCACCAGAGAGCTACTTACAAACAAGGAGGACCAATCCCTGGCACCTTAACCCCCGGCATATAACTGTACTTTCCTGTTATCAGTTTCCCCCAGTTGTTCTTATATTCCTACGGAAATATGACTGAACACCCAAGTTTTACATCTGAATAATGGTGCCACTGACCTCTGTGACGTCCATGACTTTAATGGCCGCCAGCTGACCAGTCTTGGTGTGGCGACCCTGTAACAACAAAAACATTACAAGTCAACATTGTCTACTCTGACCAAATTGTCATACAAATTAACATGGCAAAGATAGGCTTTAGATACAATATATGAGAATGTTGAAGAGTAGATGAACATTCTCCACAATATTTTGTGACTAATGAAACTCATGATTTATTTTTTGGGGTTCCTTCCTTCTTTAATTTAATAATTTTTTTTGATAAGCAAAGGGCTACCAAACCATAAATTAAGAGGATTTATTCAAAATGAAAATTGTTAGTGATAACGAGGCAAACTTGGCCCATGATCTTACACTCCCTCTTTACTGGCCTTCTTAGAACAAGAACTCAAACTGGATTATGATTTGGCCAGTTAAACCATTTCTCCCTTAATATCATTAAAAAATACAGCAGAAATAATTTTTATTGGCAAAAAACTAAGTATTAGCATTAACTTTCTTAGTAGGAAAAAAATCAACAACTTCTCACACATTACTGTGTGATCCTGTATTCACAGTAGATAATTGCACAGCGTTTATGGACACAAGTATTTGGTTTGTCCAAAGTGGCTATTAAATATCTCTCTCAGTTCAGTTCTGTCCTATGCATATAATAAATATAAGCTCTGAAAGTAATCAAGGATTTTCTTTTGTTACTTTGCATCTAGAAGAAATCTATTGTGACAAGATTTTGACTCATTGTGGACAGTTAAGAGGGAGGATAATATTATAGCCTTCTAGTTTATTACTGATTCACAATTTTAGAAACCCTTTACCCACTTATTCCCCAGAAACCCACTTCATAATCGAGATAGCAAAGCTGCCACTCTCTAATCACATCAGTCACTGACAGCTTTGACACACTGACTTAAGATATTACATCCATGTTACATTTCTGAACATTATTCTCACAACCAATGGACTCAAATCTGTCATTTTTTCCAGCTAGATAAGAACAAGGTTAAGCAGATGTCATCATGATAACTGATTGTAGAATGGCAAATCTCAGGAAATGACTCATGCACAAGGCATTCTAGGAAAACATTCATTGCAGTTGTCAATTAAAGACCCCCAGAGAAAATGGGTTTCCCTAACTAACCATTCATGGTTGTGTATCGAATTGTGGTTTTCCTCATTGCATTATCTTTAATATTTTCTTTGGTACACTTTGTGAAAGAGGTATAAAAGACTGATTCCCAAAGAAAACACATAAAAATGAATTTTCATTTTCTTGAATATTATATTTATTAAAAAGATATAAAAGAAACATTTGAGAATATAACATGTTTATACATAGACATGTACAGAAAATTGCAAGTGAGGTTAGGAAAAAGTCCATATAATGTTCTATTATTTTACAAATGTTTGAGTTAAATTGCTCCAAACGTTCTGGACATGGCCCACGCAGGCATCAAGTCCAATCAACTTTCATTAGAGGGGAGGGGATATGGCAATGAGTCATTATGTGTGTAGGATGGCACACAGACAAAGAGACTAGCCAGTAGGTTTCACATTAGCACTTGATTAAGGCCTTAAAAGAATGAGATTTTTATCTTAAACACTATTTTCAAGTTCAAGGCTACGGATTACAACAAAAGGTTACTATCCACATGGGCATGGAAGGACACGCCCCTCATTGCAGTTGATGTGTAACTCCAAAAAATTACATCTAATATCTATATTTCTTTACAACTTAAATTTTTTAATACAACTACACTTAATTATTTTTGTTTCAGTAATTGGCCATTACAAAATTTGACATTTTAATGACAATGCCAATTACCAATGACATCCCAACCTCCCTATACTTCTCCCGCAATCACTTTTTGGAGAAACAGAAGGAATATTTACGTTTATTAAAACAGTGATAGCAATAAAGAAATGCCAAAGTTTCACATTAAACACTAGTCTTAAATGAAAAATAAAAAAAAATTGTGAATGAGATGGGTGACTCATAACTCAAACAATTAAGAAGAGATTTCAGCAAGTAGGGTTGAGAAACTTCATTCACACGGTAGAGAAAGGTGCTAATTATCATGTTACAAACAACAGCACTCACCTTATACACCTGTCCGTACGTCCCATTTCCCACAACCTCAATCAGTTCGAATATTCCGGCAGGGTCCTGAAAAATGAATGAAACAAATTAATATATTGCCAGTTGAAAATATTAAGGATTGGGATATCTAATATGAACAGTAACTATAGTGTTTTGAAGTTTTAATACAAATTATTCTCCGGGAATCACACCCATTCTTCGTCGAGTCGTGGGAACAGTCGTTTTGAAAGATGAAATTTCAGAGCAAAACCAATTCTTTAACTCTTGCAATTAATAGGATATAATATATGACATATAGAGAATCAAATGACGCAGTCGACATACTTACTTTTAGTGCATTCAAGTCAATGTCATCGAGTGAACAGTTTACGCTAGGAGCTAAGTTATGCGCCATCTTGAATGTGTCTTTGAATACAAAACACTCAAAAGAGCGAGGCTATTAAAAAAAGCCCGCTCCCACTGCACTACTAATACTTTCTAAAGCTTGAGACTACTAGAATCTCTAAACTCTCTCGCTACCTACTCATAAAACACACCATCTTTGGATGAAACACTTATTTTTCACTATCTTTCCATTTCACATTAGGCCCACACCTATCCTCTACACTCGTATGCACGACGCTTGGTCATGACGTCACTGATACCACCAAGTCCATGGTCAGTTCATTTGCTGCTCCATACAAAGGGAGTAATTGATTGCATTTTTTGCAAAACTTGAATTGCCCGTTCTTTTTCACATAAATTTTAACGAAATGTTGCTAACAGTTCCTAAAGAAACTCACTTCCTTTAGCTGACTGACTTCTCACGTGTTGTACTGGCGCTCCGCAGCGTGAAAATCGGGAACTACAGAACAATCACTATTTCGCTCATTTAGAACGCCAACAATGCTGCCGGCTTCATTTTAATGTGTTTTTCATTTAATGATAATTGTACTTTACAAAACTTTATAAACTCATATGAAAGTGTATACTTTTTATTATTCAAATTACCAATATATAATTCAATGCAGATTAATTGTTTCTAATAACTATTACTTTTAGAAATGAAAAGTAATTTAAATTTTTTAAATTAGCATTATGTAACCTTTTAAAAATTTTCTTTCATTTACTTAAAAACTATTCTCAACCTTCTTATCTGTATCTGAAATAGTTCATGAAAGGATTGCTGGGAATAAAATAAACAAATGTTTGTTTTTACAAAAGGCTCTTTTTAATGTGTTCTATAAACAGATATTTCAATTGCCTGCAAATAACTATTTTACACATAATTTCAAACAAATGGGAAAGCCCAATATTTTGTTATAACTAAAAATGTAGCAAGAGCATTGTTATTATTACAATATTGGCTCATGATTAAATCTCCAAAAAATTAATGCTAAAGACTAGTTATTTTAACAGAGCATAAAATAAGCAATATATTGGGGAAGCCATTTAAGAATATTTAACCCTTTGCCCATGGCAGATAAGTAAAAGCACACATTTTTATTTGTCCGTAATTATATTTCTTCAAAATATGTGATTTCATTGAGCCTATAAAATAATTATACTCTACGAAAAAAGCAAAATTGAATGATTTAGGCCTCATGTAATTCTTACCACAAACCATGCAGTACTTTTGTATACATAATCAAACACACTTATTGCTAAGTAGTTGAAATGGAAGCTAGACATATCATAAAGATGGTATGAAAGGTACCTGTCTGTGTAACAAGTACATGTATCAATGTAATTATTCTGTTCATGTGGACTTCAGCCTGATTTGTGAAACAAGTGGAACGTTAGATATGTGTCACATTTTTTCTTTCCTATTTTCAACATATATTGTATCCAGCAAGTCATACCAAAATGAAGAATTCATGAGACAAGAAATTTGTCTTCATTCTGATGATATGTCATTCATTGCTGAACATTTTCCAGTTATTGCTGATATGTTGCGAGATGAGCATATATGTGTCTAAATAAATAATTTACAAAACTGGTTTCACAAAACCCTTCAAATTATTTTATACAAATTTATTTAAATTTTATTTAAGCATTTCATCAAGTACATATTATTTATTGAAATTACAAATGTTATTCAATCAAATTATGAAGGAAAATGAGAACAAGTGAAAATTGATATGTCCACATTTTGAGACAGTGTCAAGTGTCCATGTATGTGTACTCAAAAATCAACTAAAACTAGGTTGTAAATCCTCAAGAATTCCTTGGGATCAACATTAATGTAACAAAACTTTAAAATTGATGTTCAGAACATCAGAATCAATGCATTTAAACACATGATTTTCATTTTTCCAGTCCAGTTTGTATTGTGCTGCCAAATGCTGCCTGTGAAAATAATTGCAAAATGAAATTCAATTGTGTATGTGCATTATATAAAGCTCTGTGCTCACACAATGTCCTTTAGCACACCTACAGCTGCACAACCTGATCAAACTCTGCACATTTATTGGATGTCCTATGAGAAAGAAAAAAAGCACTTAGCAAGAGCATATTTACTTGAGCACACTGTAATAACCATGTGGCAGAAGGGTTAATTGGCAAAAATATGGCAACATAATAATTATCAATATTAATTATAATTAATATTATTTCTAGATATATATAATATTTATATAATATGTATATAATATTTATGTACAAATTCATGTGACACAACGTTAACAACACCAATTGGGAAGCAGTTGTTAGAGTGACTGTCTTGTTCTAGTTAAGAAATATTTTGTTAAACATTTGAAAACATTTTTATCAATTTTCTCCCTCTAAGTTTTTTTTATTTAATGGAAGAGAAATTGCATGATTCAGCAAGTTATGTGATTTTTTATTTCAGGTTTTTTGTTTATGTACCTTAAAATATCATGTTATTTACTTTTTCTCTGTCTGTAACTCTTTATGCTGAGTTCTATGTACAGTTCATATGAAAAAAAGCTGTAAAAGAAATTAGAATGATTCTAAATATTAGTATTAACAAACCACTCTTCCAATTTTCTCTTTTTCTTTGAAAAATGTCACTAAGAAAAGGAACATCAGTGAGCTCTTTTTAAGAAAAATCTTCCCCCACAAAAATGGTTTAATATTCTTTGAAATTAGGAAATGATTACAAAATAATTTCACCCCACATAAACAAACACAATATACAGAACACACATTCTCTGAACAAATCTTAGTTCTCACTAACAGTTCTTAAATTTTCTGTCTATCTTTTTAATAATTTATTTATTTTACTTGACTCCTATTCAATACACACCATATATGGCACAGAAACATACATATCAACATAGGTGCCTAACAACTTGGCTCCTACATCTCCATCTTTTTTATCACAGGCCCAAATATATTCAAACTAGTTAACATCAGATTATTCTCCCACCTACAAACATTCTTCACACATCTTCAGGGTTTATAATGAACAGAAAGCAAGAACTATCCACTAATAGTAAACACACTTAATTTCTATTATTTTTATAGATTTTCTTCTGTTTGGTCCAGGGATCAAATTTAGAAAAAGTAATGACAACACAGTAGCAGTTGGTTGTTCCATAGGCAATCTGACACAATAAGATGCAAAGTTTCCCTATGAGGATGATCTACACAGTTTGTTTTATGTGGTTAAATACCAGTCAGTGGTGTGATGTAAAATGTCATTTTTTGCAGATGACAAATATGAATTGAAGCCCAAGTGTTGCAGCCTGCCCTGCATATACACATGAGAATCAATAAAAGCCACTCTATTCTGACAGCACTAAACATTACCAAACAAATCTCACTTTCTTCCAATTTAATTTGCCCATGCACTTTGTGATGCAGAGACACAATTAATACAACTTCTGACACCATATTCCACATGATACTATCACTTCACAACAGATGGTAAAATTATGAATTCTTATAACTTTATTTGTTCTGTATTCCATTTTCTAACGGTAGACATAAAACATAGTAGCAATCAATATCTTCCTGTTCACATGAAATTCATGAGCACCAAGCAATGTGGTCACTGACCCAGGCGAAACCACCAACTACTTCTTACCACCAAAATACCATCTTTCAGTGTTTCTTTCACATAGCCAAAACTAGCTCTGTAGGCTCTTTTGAAAACAAGAAAAATACTACTTATTGCAATAATTTATGTAACATATATAAAATAAATAGTTCTAAATTCTATTTTCTTCTGATCTTGCTTTCAAAACATCCCCCTTACTTTTCACATTAATGTTCATTAAAATAATCACAGTCTTCAGTTTTTTACATAAAGAAAACAAGAAAGAGAGCTTTTGAGATTCCAAAAGAGGAGAGAAACAACCAAAGCCTATGAAAAGGAGAACAAGGGATAGAGGGGAGATGCAACTACATCAATAATAAATGAAAAACGAAAAGAGCACCCAACGATATTGAAGCGTACTTATATGGAACGCATATATACCTTTATTTAACAGCCACATTGCTCTGCACTCAGCAGCATCTCCTTCCAATATCTTCTCCTGTGTATAATTATTTTTACATATTTATTTTATTTTTACAAGAATATACCAATGTCAATGATTGATTTTTAATAAGGGTAGTATTTTCCAGACTTTATTGTTACCAACAGGAACCTGTAATTGTTTTCCTGCAGTTTTCTCTTAATATATCGGAACACACTGATGTTTTACCTTCAGAAAAATGGTGAGGTTAACACAGTTTTGTTAACTTATTGACAAAGGCAATAAGAGGAGAAAAATACATTTCCATATCTGTATTTTACAATGAAAATGAAGTTGGTTAAATGAAGAGAAAGATATCACATTGCAAATGCAGGATGAATGAACGAATACGCTAATTAATTTGTATATAACACAAATTGCGCCCAAAAGATTAATTGGGTAGGAGGCATTGCTGAGTGCAACAAGTGACAGGCTCGGTACCAGGGTGGTGCTTTGACCAGTCGCAAAATATCTCGCTCAGTTCACACCACAACTGCAAGCCTCAATACTCCCGAGATCCTTCAATCATAATATCTCTCTCCGCGTTCCATTCTTTTCCCACACAGATGTAAGTCTTTGCTTCGTTCAAAAGGACTTTGTAGAACAAGTTTGAAAAAAAAAAAAATCAAAATAAACGATTGAGTGACAACGTTCCCGCAACCCTGCCCACGCTTTGCATCTGTCATAAAAGGGGACTAGGAAGTACGAAGCTGTTTGAAACTATTGCAAGGAAGCGACGGGGAGCGTGATGGAGGAACACCAATCAGCAGTGTTGTTACTCAAACCCGTAGGAGTGCGCTGCGCTTTCAGGAGCCCCACAAGGCTCCGAACCAGGTTCCTCCTAATTAATGCACCGTGTGAACTAAATAACCAAGCATATGGGCGGAAGGCTGTACACATAAATAAAGGAAGGTCTACACAAGCTATTGGCAGCAGTAAAGGCAGCGGCAGGAGCAGCAGCAACAGCAGCAGCAGCAGCGGCAGCGGCGGCGGTGGCGGCTTAGACAGCGGCAGCGGCAGCAGCGAGGGCGGCGGTGGCGTCGCCGCCGGCGCCGCCGTCGCGGAGGCGCGGGCGACGAGAGGGTCGCCCGTCCGTGCGTCGGCTGCTGGCAGCGTGGGCGAAGGCGGCGAGCGGGCGCGGTCGTCGCGGGCAGGCCGAGGCGCGTTAGCCGCTGGGGAAGCCGGGCCGCGCAGCCGCCACCGCGTTGGCGGCGGCGACGGCAACGGCGACGGCGGCGGCCAGGAGGGCCGGCGAGGCCGCGGGCGGCGCCGCGCGCGTCGCGGCGCTCGCCTTCGCCTTGTGGTCCTGCGTGGGCGTCTTGGGCGCGGCATCGCCCGGCGGCAGCACGCGGGGCACCTCGTCGGTCACGTGCGGCTTGTCTGCAACCACACACACACACACACACACACATACATACATATCCAGCGGCTCGCTTTATTTGCTCCATCGTTAACTTTCGGTATACTGCGATTTTTCCAACTCTGCCCCTGCCAGGTATCAGCTGATGACGGTTTCATCCAACCGGGAGCTTAAACGTCACCATAATGACGTCATTATGTTCAAGCTCCCGATTGAATGAAACTCTCAACAACTGATACCTGCCAGGGGCAGAGTTGGAAAAATCGCAGTATATTTATTAGGGAGTTTTTGCACGCCTTGGCGGCCAGCAGTCGACTGCAATTTCGATCTTCTGTGCACTTGAATTGCGCAAGTCCACAAGATTGATAGTGCAGTCGATTGCTTTAATGTTCGAGGGTGCAAAAACTTCGTCGTATTGAGAATTCTTCTCAAATTTTTAAACAAATATGTCTGAAAACTAGTTTTGATGTAATATTTTCATGTTATTTCTTGTCGACGTTTTAGTCTGAATTTATATCGTGTTGTACACTTCGATTTAATTTTCTTCGATAGTTCATCAGGTGTTGCGGTGTCATTCACCATAATGACGTTTAAGCTCCAGATTGAATGGCACTGTAACAGCTGATGAACTGTCAAAGGACACTGAATAAATCGTAGTTTTTCCTAATATATAGCCGGATGATGGATTAAATCTGGACCGAAACATCAGCGAGTAAATACATATTAACATTACATCGAAACGCAAGAACTTAGTATCACATAATATGGGCTTCAATAAATACGTGTTGAAAGGGGTATTAATGAACATTAAAAACAGTAAAATACTAAGAAGACCTACAGAATTTTGCACAGGACAATAATACGTAGAAAGCTGTTCCCTTGAGACCTGCTTTACAGATACATGGAAGGTGCTGTTGATATCTAAGGGAAGTAGCGACGGAAGTTGGCCTGGTGCCCTGACCCAATAAACATGAACGGGAGGTTCTCGTCAGTAAATGAGGCCCATCAACAAGTCGGACACCCAAAGCAGCCAGGGCTTCCTCGGCAACCTTTGTGGGTTGCCGCGTAGGTGTCTCTCTCGGTAGACAAGATTTCTTCAGCAGATCGAAATATAGTGGGATTCTCTCTGTCCTTACGTTCTTTTCTGCCATTGCGAAATGTGTGTGGGAAGGAAGAGGGGAAAGGAAAAAAACCCGAAGGAAATGTCCAAAAGGTATTCACTTATTTTCTAACAATTAAATAATAAACATATACACCGCCTCACAAATGAACACAAATTACCTAGATAACATTCACAATGATATGGATAACGGAACTCATCTTTACTCTTCATGCCAATTGTAGAAGATTGCAACTAATGACTAAGAAGCGTTATGCCAAGGGTAGACGCAGCGTTCAATACACGCTTCAAATTCACAGGTTCTTCGAAATGTATACAAATGAATAAAGTTTAAGAAGATTCCGGCATCGACCTTACTCGGAGCAAAGTAGATATAATTGTTACGTTTTACAATCACTTTTGACCTTACGCACTTGTATTCATCAAAAACTTCGCCCAAACCATCATATTCCCATTCAAGCGAAGCAAAGCGAGACATTACTAGCCAAGATATTTTTAGAACTGTTGAAGTCTATGCACTCCAAAGGCGATTTACAAAATAATATTGAAGGTCTACTTGAATATTGTAGTATTTATTCTTCCCAAATTCAAACAGTGATGCCATTACAACCCATACTTCTCCGATGCGAGTAAGTAATCGAAGAAAGATACTTTCTTTCCGTAACGTGCGTGCAAGCAGGAGGTAAAATAATTTCAAGACTTCCAAGAAGTTGAGATAGCTTTCAGTACTCCAAAGAACACGTTGAGAAAGAGACGAATAGATAAATTTGGAATTCCGAAGAAACTAAAGCCGCACTCACGTTGCCAGCGATGTCTCGGAGCGAGAGTGCCTAGAGCCGGAGGTGGCGGTGGTGGTGGTGGTGGTGGTGATGGTGGTGTGGTGGTAGTCGTTGGTGGTGGTGGTGGAGGTGGCGTTGGGAGGTGCGCGGCGGCGGCGCGTGGTGGTAGTTGGTGTGGTTGGTGGTGGTGGTGTGGTGGTGTGGTGGTGGCGTGGAGGTGGCGCCGGCGGCGGCGGTGGTCGTAGTGTGTGGTGTGGTGGTGGTGGGGTGGTGGAGTGGCGTTGGGGAGGTGGCGGCGGCGGCGGCGCGGTGGGGTGTGGTGGGGTGTGGTGGTGGTGGTGGAGGTTGGCGTTGGGAGTGGCGGCGGCGGCTGGCGGTGTTGTAGTGGTGGTGGTGGTGGTGGTGGTTGGTGGCGTGCGGGGGGGGTGGGGGCTGAGGCGGCCGGCGGGCAGTGGTGCGTAGCGTTTGAGGCGTTTGGCTGTTGGTAGGCGTGCGGGGCTGTGCGGTGGCGATGAGTGGTGCGGTGTGCGGCGTTGCCGCCGGTGGGAGTGGGGTGGCGGCACCTCGTCGGTGGTGACGTGCGTGGCGGGGCGGCGGTGAGGCTGGGCGGGCGGCGGTGACAGTGGTAGGCGGATGTGGCCGGTGGCGATGACAGTGGTCGTGCTAAGGCTATGGCGTTGGTGGTGGGGCGGCGGCGGTTGGCGGTGGCGGTGGCGGGGGCTGAGGCGGTGGCAGATGGCTGTGACGGCGGTTGGAGCGGTAGTGCCGGGTGGCGGGGGCTGGGGCGGGGGCTGTTGCGTGGCGTAATGAGTGGTGGCGGTGGTGGCGGCGTTGCCGGCGTGGTAGTTGAGGTTGGCGACGTCGGTGGGTGACGTGGCGGGGTTGCGCGGGCTGAGCTGGGGCGGGGCGGGCGGCGAGGCGGGCGGGGCGGGACGGTGGCAGTGCGGTAGGCAGTGGTGGCGGCGGCGGCGGTGGCGATGACAGTGGTGGTGGTGGCGGCGGCGGTGCGGCGATGCACGCGTTTGTTCGAGAGGACGCAGGCGAATGTCGATAAAAGCAGGCCTGTGGCCTTTCATGCCCTGGGGCAGCGAGTGCCTGCAGGTCGTTCTCGCTCGATTACCGAGGGAGCGCTCAGCTCTTTTGCATGTTGTAGCACATAGCTTGCCTTTTTGAGTTAGCGCAGATGGCAGAGACGGGCCCTGGTTGTGGGTTCGAATTTCGAAGAAGTTATGAATATTTTCATCTTAGGCTGTAGGCAAATATAAACCATCATGCATCCTTTTTAAGCGTCAATTCGAACTTGCTCAGAGACGCGTAGTATCTGTTCCTTTCATTAGCTCTGAGGAAGAAGATTGAAACTCGCATTGAGCGTAAACTCATACTGAACACAGGAATGAAGCAAAGCGCTCTCTTCCGACTAAAGCTTTAAAGGCGATCTAATCACACTTTGCCATTGTATCAATCGTCGGTTGTTCCGTGACAGATAATGAAGCTATTTCTACGAAATATTAATATAACAATGTTATACTTGACTTTCTTGTGCAATTATGTAAAGTTAACCTGGTGGGGGATGTGACATTTGGGACTCTTGGTACTCTTCCATAATCAGTTGGTTAAAACGTCAAGTCCCTCGCAGGATTCGAATCCACTCGAGAATTTATTAGGTGCAAATCATTTATTAGGTGCTAATAAGTGGTGTTAGAGGAGCAGGAAAAATCGCGAACACAGGGAAAAGCACGTGGTAGGTCGAGGCACTCAATTAGCATTTGATTGAACCAAGTGAATTGATACATAACTTTCCTGTTCATATATGGAATGAACGATATACATGGAATTGTGGGATGGCGTGTCTTTCGACTACTGCCACAACCACATCCATGAAATCATCCATTCTCTACGCAAGATTGCAACTCACAAGCCAACCGCAGAGTAGTTGACTGTAGTAGGTTTCACTTGCTATACCCCACAAAATGCAATACTATGTCAATCCATTGCTTAAAAACTTTCCAATTTTAATTTTGTTTTATTTTTTATTACTTGTTGTTACTTGTATTTTGTTCCAGCAGTGACAACTTGAAAATTGCATTTTTGGTAATGGACAAATTCTCAGGAATGATAACACGATATTCTACTCCCTGAACGTGTTTGAGACCCTTAAAATAAAAATAAAAAAATCAATCGTCTGATTAATCGATGTTTCTGAGTACGTAAACATCTTCGGTCATTAGTCATGTTGGCGGTGTGACTGTTTTATTCCAATAGGTAGCAATGTTTCTTCCCCTCTGATTGGTGAGCACCGGTGCCGACCTACGCGTGATTTGCAGGGATTTCCCCTTCCTAGTATCTCCCCAGGGGGCCACCGTCCCAACTAGGGCAAGCTGCAAGTTCCCGAAGGGTCTCAGAAGCGTAATGGATGTGTAGTAATATAGTGAATGTAAGCGCGCGAGCGCTCGTGTGTAAGAGGAATAGACAAGTTAGACGAAGGAAAATTCGCGCGCGGTCCTTGGCCGTTTGTCAAGGTATACTGCCTGAGCATTCGTGGATCAGAAAAAAAAAGTACAACAGAAAACAATCGATCAGAACAGCCGGCCGCTAGAATTCTCCTGCAGACAGCGGCTGAATTCGACCGAGCTTTGCAGCAAATGTCGTCCGCCATCGACGGAACTCGAACCCTAGAACGTCCCGGTCAGAGATTCAGTGGCAATGCTGGCTCTGAGCTATACTTCGCTGCTCTCTCATTGGCGTTACATTATTTCAATGCCAATATTCAGAAAATATTTACAGTTTATTCTTTAATATAAAAGAAAGGAAAGTAAATAATTATCTTCGTTCCAGTCTTCCTCACTAAAAGGAATAAACTGCACAGTCTGCAAGTTCGCGGCAGGCAGGGAGCCTCCAATCCGAATTACTCAAATTTCGCGCTTGAAGTGGCCACTTGTGACGCAATGGCCACCACTGGCACCGTCGCCCTAAAAGTGGACAAATCCGGTTACTAGGAGAGCACAGCCGGCACCAAGGAGCGCGGGGCCAACGGGCGCCAGGGGAGAGAAAAAGGGCGGGGCCCCGTCTCGAGCGCACTTTGATCGGGAGCTTTGAGCGCAGATGGCTCATCAGCGTAATGGAACAGAAGCAGCCGTCCAAACGCGCCTTCCGCGTGGTCACCGCCGCGCCGCCCGCGCCGCCCGAGCGCTCAAACGCAAAGCAGCGCCGGGCGCCGGGGCCTCGGCCGCCGAGGGGCGTTTCCGGTCCCAGCTGTGCGAGGCGGAGTAGTGCAGGGCGGAGTGTGAGGGTGTGCAAGGGCGTAGTGTGGAGTAGTGCGATAAGTTGAGTGTGGAGCGCGGAGTGTGGAGGGCGAGGGCTGGAGGCCGGAGTGTGGTGGGCGGAGTGTGGAGGGGAGCATGTGGGGGCGGACAGATGGAGGGTCAGTGTAGGGGGTCGGAGTGTTGGAGGCGGCGAGTGTGAGGGCGGACGTGTGGAGGGCGGGAGTGTGGAGGGCGGAGTTGGAGGGCCGGAGGAGTGCCTGTGATGGGCGGCTATGGGAGGCGGAGTGTGGAGGCGCAGTATGTGTGATAGGGCGCGAGAAGCGGAGCGCGGACGCCAGGCGTTGGAGGCGTGAGTGCTGGA